AATGGAACTTCAAGTCGGCAGATCACTGGCCCGCTGTACCACCCGGCCATGGACATGATCTCAACCGCACACGAAGCTCGGGTGCCGCCACCCGACCTCGTCGGGGTCAGTGGAAATTCCAGTTGCCAGCGCAACACACCGTACGACCACACGCAAACAGATTGGCCGCACCGTCCAGAGCAGCCATCGTCCCCTGGCACAAATGAGCAGCAGCCTGCTGGCTCAAACAACCGCATCGCCGCTGCCGTCCTTCCGCACATATCGGCATACACGACTGCCTCCATTGCTGCTACGCAGCCGCTCGTGCCCCCGACGCACCCTCCACAAGCGTTCAGGGAGCACCCGTATCCGCAGCCTCTTCAGTCACACTACTCTACCAACCGGCCCATCTGGTCACAGACTCTAGGCCAGAGTACTGGGACTTACGCAACCCAGTACGAGTCGGTACACCCAGCTCAGCCGCCCGTCTTTCACATGGAGCAGCCCAGAGCTGGCCAAGATGAACCCATCATGCCCTTTGGCAGGCAGCATGGCTCCGGCTACGGCATGTACTTGGTGAATCAGGTCCCAAGGGGCTACACACCTCACACAGGGCCAGGTTAAGGATCGCAGACTCCATCGGCTCGGCGAATGTATGAAAATCGTCATGGGCGGACTGAGCTCAGCACCAGGCAACACTACGGACGATGATTCTTGACGCCCGTGCTTGAACTGGGCGGATAACGCCAGCGCCCTCCTTACCTCTTGGCGAGCTTGCATGCTCCGACAAATCATGGTGCTGAGCGGCTTTGACTTGCCTCCGACATGTCAGAGTGTATGGGCACTGCCTTTCAATATGATGCGACGTCTTACCGCCGTGTCTCTCTGCCGTTGCCCGCTCACACTGACTGCTCAGCTGGACCTCACAGTGAGTGGCCGGTGCTGACAGAGAGAGTCGCTATACCCCGGCTGGCCCGTATAAGGCTGAACGATTCCCCCCAGCTGGCACATACCGGGACAGACTGGCAAATCGACGCCCTCGTACGAAACAGAATCTCTGCGGATCTCGAGGCATTGGACGGCCAGCTAGTGACAGGTAGTTTGAAGCCATGTTCGTCGACAACGTTCTTGGTGCAATTTCTGGGTAACCCACATACATCACCTTCTATACAAGGTGGTGTCTGGCATGCAAGATTGTTATCCGATAGTATGACCTGGGGAAATCTTGTCATAGTTCACGCTGGCTTAGAAGCGGCCGTAGCCTCCAACAGACGCTCTAACCTCCCGGACATCTTTTGGTTTGCGACAAACGCCGGATGGCGGACGACTGGGCGGTAATATACATGGTCATGGACGATATGAACAATGGCGGTCGCAGCCATGGCCGGGGCCTTCCACGTCCCATCTGTGGACGGAAATGCCACCCCTCCATCTACCCAAGTGTCTTGGGACGGGTCCCTTGCTTATTACGTCGCTACGAAGCCCGACAAAACATGTATCTAATCTCGTAGACTATCGATTGACTTCACTTCATGCTCGGCCTTCGTCGCGTCGGGGATTTTTGTTCGACGTACATGGCTCGCCTACTTGGCGCTGACAATTGAGCTTTACGTGGGACCTGGGGTCAGTCGTTATTCGAAGTGCCCGAACGGTTGGCAGGCTATGATGCACTCCGACGTCGTCTTCCCGCCATAGAAGGCGCTGGAACTGCGTACATCCCATCGTGCTTTGACGTTGCGGGCGGTGGTCGAAGACGTAGTGAAGCCGAAGTCTGGCTTTATGCCGACCACCAGTTAGTTGCTCATCGACACGGATGTAAAGCGTCTGTGCAGGGTAGGGGAGTTCCCGCTCAGGCCTCATGCACGCCATCAGTACAGTAGTAACTCTGCGATTCGAACTGAGTGGGATGAAGCTTGCAGAGAGTTTCGGGAACTGGGCGGCGAACACGAGAACCGGAGCGATTTCTGGATCCCTCTGTCTGTCACACAGCCCTTACAGCCTGGGTGGTGTGGGGCAAAGTCGGCTTGCAAGACGTGTGGTGTGCAGCCAAATCGGCTCCCAGGACGTGTGGTGTGGAGGATGCAGGCTTGTAGGACGTATGGTGTGAATCTCGCGGGACGTGTCGTGTGCGGCCTGCAGGCTTGCAGGATGTGTGGTGTGAAGCTCGCAGGACAAGGGGTGTGAGTCTTGTGGGCTTGCAGGACGAGGGGTGTGAAGCCGAAGCGGCTTCCAGGACGTGTGGTGTGAAGCATGCAGGCTTACAGGACGAGTGGTGTGAAGCCAAAGCGGCCGCAGGATGAGTGGTGTGAAGCTCGCAGGATGTGT